TTCCTTCAGGTTCTCAATTACTATAATTAAATTAAATTTGCTGTCTGAATGCCACTTAAGCTTAAATTTCATTTGTTAGCTTTATTAATGTGCATTTGATTATTTTTTATGCATTTTTAACTTAGTTATGACTTTAATAAAAGTTGAATTATTTAAATTAAAAATGTGTGATATTTTATAAAACACAGAAATTGCTTGAAAACAAAAATTAAAATTTCAGAAATGCGAATTTGACTTAATTTATGCTTTGCGTAAGCAATTTGGAAAAATGTCCATGACTACGTGGGAAATCGCTTCATTCAATTTGATAAAACAATAATGAATTTGAGTGAATGATGATATCTTTTAAAAGAATTTAAAATGAGCAAAGTCAATTTCAACAGTCCAAATAAAATCGCTTAATTATCATGAATAATAATTTGCAGTTGATTTTTTTTGAATCGCACTTTACCATGAAGGACTCGAATATATTGTGGTAATAATTATCCATGACAACGCAAAAAATATTATTTTAATCTTGGAATAGCATTCGATCACGTGAAGTCACCGAATATCCAAGCAAGAAATAATGCTGGAGTACATAATGTAGACAGAATATCTAGAGTCCTGCTTTACATGAATTCAAGATGGACTGATTTAGTAACCGATTCATTTTGTATTATCCTTAATAGATTTCGTAATTTCATCCCCAGGATTTAGTGTGAGTATTTGAAGGTTTCATGGTAACCTAACCAACCGCTTTTTGTTAAAACCTCCCCTCTTCGAAGTAATAAATGTCTGAGTTATCAAAGTGCTCCCCCCCCCCCCCCCCCAAAGTCATATTGGGTGACCGAACTAGTCTGAAATGTCACAGCATGTTGCATAATCTTATTGCTGACGAGGCTCGACTCAAGTCATCTGTAGATAGATTGTATCTGACCTTTACAGGGGGTATTAGAAACACCACTGTTAAAAAGTTTCACCGCATGCCTCTACCTCCCTCCTCACCTCAAATTATTGTTTTCGAACTATCGATGAATTAGAATTCGCTATCGCTTGCTCACTTACTCTTATCTCTCCAAACCCTCTTCTGTAACCTCAGAAGCCACTCCACCACTTTGACCTCCCTGCCTCCAGCGTTCACGTTTTCATGGATAGATCCACAGACTGCAATTATCTACTCTATTCCTGTTTTTTACAGCCCAAAATAGGCTTTGATAGACGATAAGCAAGTGAAAATTCAGATCCACAAGACGCTAGTAATTAAACTAAGAGTTTGTCTGCACGATATTTACAGCCAGTTGTCCCATTGTTTTAATACAATGGTAGATCGTGCTTTTATTATTCCTCTGTGTCATTAACAAACTGGAAAAACGAACGAAGACTGCATGAATACTTGCCTTTTTTCAGAGCAGTCTGGTTAGAGATTGTATTTCTGCACTCAACTTAAACTATCAACTGCCAAATATTTTTACATCCTCCACCATGCCGGTAAAGTAGACTATATTTTACACCAGATGGTTTAACCAACATTCTTGTCATAGTTTTGTAAATTTCACCCCTGACAAGATCACAATGTATCATTGTTATTTCAAAGAAATGGTAAACTTCAAGTTCTAAACATTTTAGCATTTTTAAAATGAGTCTGTAAATGGGAATATTGGTTCTTTTTATTAATTGATAAATGTATGTTGACGTGTAATGCATTTTAAGCATTTATGATCGATTAGCAGAGATCTAGACAAGTGTCGATATATCGGTTTGGGTAAAATGTACAATATGCTGTTTGTGTCTACTGGATTGTACATTAGCCGTTGTTGACAGGAAATATTTTGTAAAATATTGGCCATAAAATAAGAGTTCACTGGGCGACCGCAATTCTTTTGTTATAATAAGACAAAAAATTTTCATGTGGCTGTTGATTAAAACAGAAATCTATTTAAATGGCGTAAAAAATTTATACTGAAATTATATAAGCCATAAGTTGACAGTAAACAAAGAAATTTGAAAATTGTCTTTAAATGAAGTGTGAAACTGAGTGGTATTGATTATATAACTGAACCCGCGTAGTTTAAGGTAAATAGGTTGAAAAAAAATAAGATTTTCCAAAATCTCTGTTTGCATAAATATTTCTGAAGTTTGCCATTATAGAATTACTGGATCATAAATTCCTTAGCCGTTGAAAGATAAGTTATTTATTAATCGAAATATTATTTATTAAAGTCACGGTGCTCACTTTTCTCACGGTTTCGGGTTCGATTCGTTCGAGCGAAGTGGCCAACCATAGTGATTAAGTTTGGCCAAGACCTAGAGCAATATAGAATTCGTGTCCCTTGTCACAGAAGCACCATGATGGCACTTTCCCACTCTCCACAAGATGAATTTTTGGAAAATCATTTCTCGTTGAGCTTAGAAACTAGATGCATTTTTAGCGCAACGATTATACGATCCAGCTGAAATAACTTTCCCACTTTTCATAATTATTTTTAGCACTTCATAATATCGATCCAGAAATTATACCGAATAGTTAAAATGTGTGACTAATAATGTGATTGCATGAATGCCACTAGTTTTAAATTTGTTCATCTGCATTTAAGGATTTGCACTTTAATGTCAGCAATTTGTCAAAAAGCACCCCTTTGTGTATCTGCTTCAGTTATTGTAAAAAATAAATGGCAAAATTGAGACGAAATCGAATCAAATCCTTTGAAAAATGAATCTATAAACAAATTTATATATTTAAGGCAAAATTAAAGGCAAATTATTTTAAATTTGTCTATTTTCAAATCAAATGTATAAGCCCTCGGCTTTATGTGTGAATAATGATTTAATTAGTTCATCTCGTTAATAACAATTTTAATAATAAATAATTTAATAAGCAATTAAAGAATAATAATATGCGAATGGATACCTCATAACCTGAATCCCGACTACCTTGCTAATTTAACTAATCTCTAATTATCACCCAACCAATAGGAGTATTTTTTCGTGGACTAATTTAGGGATACTTTGGCATCGTGTTTACATTAATTATGCAAACTAACAGGGGGCTAAAAATAAACATTAAGCAAACAATGACAAGTTTTTGAATTCCGTATTCAGTTTTCCACTGTGAACTTGGTAGATCTATCAAAATTAGAAGGGGACAAATTCCTTGGGCATTAAAACAAATTAAAGGTAATTCCGATTCTCTGAATCATCATAAAACACTTTCAAATACATTACAAACTATAGAAGGCAACAATTGATTCACTGAATTCAATTCCATTGCAATTGAGGTATTTAAATTAGAAATTGGAACGTATAACTTTCCAGTTAATGTAACTATCAATTTTCATTATAATTTGTATTAATTTTTGTGTATTCTATGAAGTTTTCAATGTACAGAGTTTTCTTCACTGATTAATTCAATTTGGGAAACTGGAAGCACAACGACCATTCTCCACGGAGAGTGCTTCAATCGTATTGGTTACTATATCCATATTTTGACTATGCCTTTCTTGCTCTTATGAACCTCAATAAATCTGCTTAAAATTAGAAAAAAATATTCGTGGATTAGCTTCGCATTGTCTTGCTACAACTTAATAGGATGTGGTTAGCTATTACTTATTTCCCACTAATTTTAGGAAACTATCTCTCTTAAATTCAATTCAAATTAACTTATATTATAGTAATAAAATTCAAGTATGGTATTTCCAAATTTTAGATCCCCTCCCCTCCTCGCCAACTTTTAGTACTTACATATGGAAATTCCAACTAGAAGAAGATGAACCACAGATCCTTATTGTTGTGGTGAAAACTTCTAACGTGAAATCAAGCTATTTTTGGTATAAAATAAATCATGTTAGTTCCCGTATTCACAATTTATCACTTTAACGTTATTTTCAGTAGCAAAGTGAAGGAATCATAAAAGGGCTACTAATTTCGTCAAAAGTTAATATTTGCTCATTTATATTACCTTATTTTCATCTTGAGAGCAATAAAAAATCCACCTTTTATATAATCATCACGCCGGGTTTGCGATAGACTTACCTCCACGTGGTGCACCCAGGGCAACGTATACTCATACGGCTAAAAATGTCAATAAACCGGCAGTTGACTTCTCACTTCAAACTACCATCACACCACTGTATGTCATATTCGACCGCTTCCACACTACTCATCTTACCTTTTCTCTACCTTTGTGTCTGTCTGCCTCTCTTTCATCTGTGAATCGCTCTTCTGTTCCTCCTCTCCCTCTCGACTTGTTTCACTTTGATGTTCCTTCTCCTCTGTGAAGCCTGAAGTCAACTAACCATCAAAACGCAAGCCATTTGATATAAATAAATAAATTTTTCCTTCAGAGTAGGGCTGAATTTGCGGCCAAATCAAGTCCATTTTACGCAAGCTCATTTAGAAAATTCTCTCACATTGGGACTCACCAATGCACCGTCCATTCAGGTAGAATTTTAAGTAACTGGGAGATAGGACTTCAAGATGGACTTTCCGTAAATAAAGACTATTTTTCAGCATTTTTCCATGGTACTTACTGGCATTGGCTACAAAACTGTCGATATCTTCAAGTGAATTTTCTTCGAAATCTCCCCTATTGCTATTTGGGGTGCTTGCGGGGTGTTCTACGAGAGGAAGGAATGCTACAACTTCCCAATCGAAAGATCACTCGAACACTGCTGCTTCAGAATACCTCAATGCGTTGTAAATGTCCATCTGAAATTGTATCAATACCGACTCTTAAGCAGGTGAGAAAAGCGTTTTCCAACATCTCCCTTGACGCACACAGTTGAGAATGATAGCGATTCTGAAGGAAACTTCAACTCTGTCATCAACCTCTATCACACAGCCATATTCATGTACACGATGTTACCAATTCCACCCTACTAGATAAGCACTATTGGCTGATAAGCTGGTTACTAATCACAGCGATAAAATTTATCGATATTAAGTCATGAAATAATGCCGATATCTGATCCATGAGAATTAATCCCGTGGCACGCAATTCTTGGAATTCTGTGCATGCACTATTAAGAGCGATTATTTATATCAAATGGCAGGCGCTTTGATAGTTATCATTAGCACTTTAGTTGACTTCAGGCTTCACAGAGGGAAAGGAACATCAAAGTGAAAAAAGTGAAGAGTGTTTCAAAGACGAAGGTTGAACAAAGGTGAGGTGAGTACTGTGAAAGTTGACTTCAGGCTTCATAGTGAAAAAAAGTCGAGAGGGGGGGGGGCAGCAGAGTGTTTCAATGATATAAAAGGGACAGACACAAAGGTAGATAAAGGTGAGATGAGTACTGTGAAAGGGGTCGAATATGACACACAGTGGGGTGATGGTAGTTTGAAGTCGGAAGTCAACTGCCGGGTAATAGACTGCCGTATGAGTATACATTGCCCAGGGTGCAACACGTGGAGGTAAGTCTATCGCACACCCCAGGAGAGAATATAAACTCATAAACAAAGAACCCTTTAGTATATCCCGTGTTTGACCACCAGCCATTCACCAATTTTCAGATCCACCTCCTACAATTGCGAATTTCTTACAACTCAAAGCAAATTATAAACAAGGTTTTAATAAAGAATTTCGACTGTTTGCCAAATTTGTTGATAACGCATTCTGATTTCTCGATGTAACAAAAGATTCAAAACACGCCGTCAGCTCTGAAATATTTATATTTCCACTATTTAATATAAACAAAAAACACAAGTGAATGCAAGACGAACAGTAGTAGGATCATAAGAAGCAGAAATGGAAGATGAATAGAGGCAAAATAACATAAAGTGAGGCGCGGGCATAGTTATAAAGCTGCAGCCTTCGTTGATTTCCCGCGTTTGCGGACAACACCATTGGCCAATTCACTCTCCGACTCCTCGTTAGAGGCTGAATTGCCATGTTCTGCAGGCTTCTCCTCTGTGCTCTCCACGTCACTCCCAGTCTTGTCTTCAATGGCCTCCGTCGTCTTTGTCGACTCGATTGATTTGACCCCTTCCGCACTTCCCTCCTGATCTCGCTTTTCCAACATTTCCTTGCTCACACCGAACTCATTCACTCGTGATGGATCAATGCGGTAGATCCAACGTTGATAGAGATAGATGAAGAAAATAATATCTGCAGAAAATGGAACACCATTCAGAGCACTCACTAATTATATGAAAAATTTAACTTGGGAAATCCGAATGTTATACTGTGATTTCTCAAGGTAACCGTAAGAAAAGGTATTGGGTTGGCAACTAAGTCATTGCCGTTTTTGTTGACGGATTCACTTTATACTTTCTTTTGTTTTGTTAACGTGGTCAGAGCATCTAACCTATATTTTTTCCTACTGTATGGGCTTCTAGATTAATTAGTAAACAATTTTTTTGTTTAGTTCTTTAGTTTTGTTTTTATTCCAATTTAAAAATGAAAGAACAGGACGTGCACTTCCCACACATTTTATTGTATTACTTCCGAAAAGGCAAGAACGCATCGCAAGCACAAAAGAAGTTATGTGCCGTATATGGAGATGAAGCCTTACAAGAAAGGCAGTGTCAAAATTGGTTTGAAAGATTTCGTTCTGGTGATTTTTCACTCAAAAATTCACAACGATCTGGCCGCCCAGTCGAAGTGGATGAAACCCATATCAAGGCCATTATCGATTCAAATCGTCACAGCACAACACGAGATGATATTGCAGAGAAGCTCAATGTGTCGCATACATGCATTGAAAATAAATTAAAAACCCTTGGTTATGTCAAGAAACTTGATTTATGGATCCCTCACCAGTTAAAGCAAATTCATTTGACGCAACGGATTAGCACCTGTGATTCGCCGCTACTGAAACGCAATGAGAATGATCCTTTTCCGAGGAAGAACCTAGTTACTGGCGACGAAAAGTGGATAGTCTGTCAACAATTTTACTCGCAAGAGATCATGGGTGAAGCAAGATCAACCAGCCCAAACAGTATCAAAAGCAGAGACTCACCAAAAAAAGATTATGCTGTCAGTCTGGTGGGATCACAAAGGAATTTTGTATTTTGAACTCATGCCGCAGGACCAAACGATAAATTCAAATGTGTATGTTGAACAACTCGAAAAACTGAAGGATGCAATTGAAGATAAGCGGCCAGCATTATCAAATCGGAAGGGTGTTGTTTTCCATCATGATAACGCAAGGCCCCACACATCTTTGGTTACTCGGCAAAAATTATTGCAACTGGGTTGGGATGTTTTGTCACACCCACCATATAGCCCTGACCTTGCACCTTCGGATTACCATTTGTTTCGTTCCATGCAAAACTCTTTAAATGGTAAAATTTGTAACAACGCGGATGATGTCGGATCACACCTAATTCAGTTTTTTAATAGCAAAGACCAGACATTTTACGAACGGGGAATTTTTACTCTGCCAGAACGACGGAAAATGGTCATCGACAAGAACGGCCAATATCTAATTGAATAAAGTTATATTTTTAAACAAAAATTCCCAATTTGCCTTCTTATTTGAAATCGGCAATGACTTAGTTGCCAACCTAATAAATAGACCCGATTTTGTAATTGATAATTTATCAATATGGATGAGTCTGATGTGGTTGAACAACTATCAAAAGAAGCAAAGCAGACGCAGCGAAAATGGTGAAATGAAAGAGGCGACAAATCCGAAAATGTTGGCATCAGATGGTGAAATTGTGAGCCGTATACGCGAGAAGAGTAGTCTCAATTCACAAATCACATTTCTATTTCCATTTGGTGTCCCTTTCGACTACTTTATTGATCCCTGCGTGTACAGTGTGTTTATTAAATTTACCTCCTTACATTGGCATAATGGCAACAAATATAGATAACGATCAGTAACGGTTATTGAGTTTTAAAATCTATATTTATGTCAGAAAACGTTTACTTGATAATTTTGACGTGTTAGAATGATAAAATTGTGGAAATAATCATGAGGATATTCTGAAGTATATTTAAATAGCCACATTTTTAACTAAAATTTGTGGCATAGTTAAGGATGTCAATTCTATGGGAAAATTTTTACAAACCAATTAATTTGGAATGAATGATTATTCAAGCACTGAACAGACCCATTTAAACTGTACTTATAATGCAAACTAGAATTTCTGTTGAACTAGAAGTGAAAAATGTTCCGCTTTAAAACCAATTTCGATTCTTTTCCAGAGATAACTAACTTTGCTAGGAAAAAAAGCATTATCCAAATTACCAGGCATCGAAATTCGTAGTTTTTTACTAGACTTCACTAATATAAAATAATTAATATGTAATTACAGCTCAATTTCAATGAAAGAATTTTCAAACACGTATTGAAGAGACTGATTGTGGATTTGTAGCAGGCACGCTTAACTTAATGTTTCAACCTAGTCAAAATTTCAACTTTTTCCTACTATAAAGCCGAGGCTCTGTCACAATTCATTCATGAAGATTCACGCACCCAAATACTTCTACTTTATTCAACCCATTCCTCATATTTAAGTACGATTGTGGCCTAGATAACACTAACTTGTTTTTTTTTCGAGATATGTTGAGACTGTAACACACTGACACCCTGGTTAAGGGTTTATATTGGTTACCATGGATCGCTTATCCATTGAAATCAATTCACTACCTCCTTAACTTCATTCTGTGAGGGAACCCGCTTATCGACCACTAGGCTGTTCATCGTATTCAGGCCATTATTCCTTATTTTCGAGTTCATTGAATTGCTTATTTAGTGCTATCGGCCAAAGACTTTAATGAGTTTTCTCCCAAAAGAAGCACTCAGTCACTGCGTCTGTCTCCTCCACATCTTTATAGTTAGAGCCCCTCGGTGAATCTTCCAATAGGCTAATAGATTTGCTCGTTTGCTAATTCTATTACAAAATCAAGCCAAAATGAATGGATTATTGCTATTGTGATGGGTGCACTTTTTGCCGCCTTGCCATTTCCCATGACCCGAGTGAAATACACCCAATACCTATTTCGGTTTATATAATCTACATGACAGCCAACGAGTGAGCAATGCCAAAATATGCTGTAAACATTGTGGCCTCTTTTTGGAACTCTCTCTCTATCTCTCTCTCTCTGAATTTATAATCAAATTATACAAGACCATTTAAAGTAAAGAACGGTCTTCCTCCCGAGATTCATCAGCAAATTGATGCCGATCACAGTGGAAAGGAATTGAATCAAATTAAACGTAAAACCAATAGCATTGCAAAAGTATTTAGAGCACCCCCTGGGAGACAACACATATCCAGTAAATGGGAAGATTTGTAGAATAGGAAGTTCTCATAGCAGCAGCTCCAAAATACTATTCCTCTATCCAAAACTGCTGTTTGAAAACGCCGAGAGGTTTTTGCTAGCAGCTAATCACATTTGAACACTAAAGACGGATTAATCCGTGCATATTATGAATCTAAGCTGATATGAAAAAAAATAGCAACTACTACCATCAACCCTTCTAAGGATGTCCACCTTCAGATATATATATATATATATATCAGATAAACAATACAGGTATTTATAGAAGCCTCGGAACACTTACCATCACGGAAGCAGCCAATACGATAAAGTGTGGGTGTTTTGATAACGAAAGCAAAGAGATCATCAATGAACGTATTGAGTGCCTTATAGGTCATCATACGCCATGGCAGATGAGCAACTGACTTGAGTTTATAGTTGATGAACAATTGGGGTGTCATTGCAATGAAACCTAGAAGAGATTAAAAAAGAAAGGAGGAAAATCATTAAGGGAATATCCGATTAAGACGACGCATAATCGATTGCTTACTGAATGTGAGCAGGAATCCATAAAGCATGGAAAGAATCCACGAATACCAACCACGATGTTCTTCATATACCAATGAATAGCCGGCATAGGCAATGAGAAGTGGAAAGAGGGCCCATGAAAGGTATTTAAATGCCATCTGATAGAAAATGGAAAGTAGATTAAAAAGAAAATTAGTGCTACTAAATTTATTACAGTAGACACGAACCTGGTCGTAGATTTTAGTCTCCGACTCAGTGTAGCTTTCTTGCCATTCGAAGGATGGACGAGGAATGACGCCAAAGAGCTTATTCTCGTGATCAAACTAGAGATAGGAAAAACGACAACGTATTTAGAATGACCCTCACCATAGACTCACAAAGAATATCACTTGTAATTATAAAAGGTACACACTGGATAAACTTTCTCATACTATTGGCGATTCAGTGTATTGTCTATACTTCAGGGCGGAAAAAGGGGAAATGTCTTCCATCATTCAATTTGCCATTATGGTTACTCAAAGATTTCCATCCAGAAACTTGGTACATGAAAATTTACAAGTCCTTTATATTAAAAAGAGGGGGTGTGCGATAGACTTACCTTCACGTGGTGCACCCTGGGCAACGTATATTCATACGGCAATAAAGTCTATAAACCGGCGGTTGACCTCTAACTTCAAACTACCATGACCCCACTTTACGTCATATTCTACCACTTTCACTATACTCACCTTACCTTTTCTCTGTCTTTGTGTCTGTCTACCTCTTTTGCATTCTTGAATCACTCTTCTGTCCCCCCCCCCTCTCGACTGTATGTGATCTTGCTGTTCCTCCCCTCTGTGAAACCCGAAGTCAGCTAAAGGGCTAATGATCACTATCATAAAGCCTGCCATTTGAAATAAATATTAAAAAGCAATCGCTGTTCAAGTTTTGTTTGGGGTCTAAAGCGGTAAATCGCAAGAGAGCCTTATATTTTTCAAGAAATAATTCTTCTATCTAAGCCCTCTCTTTTCTAAATTATCTCTCCCTAGTCCCCACAGTTAGTTCTTAGTTCGAATAACATATAAACCATTTTTTTAACTAGACGTATTTATTGAATATTTGTCACATATAGATATGGATTGCATAGCACTTTTTTATTACCTTGGAGACGATTGAATGTTAGTTTTTATTCTTACAATTTGATTTAATTTATGTAAATTAGATAAAATTACTTATTATATTGCGCGATCGTAAACTGCAAAATTTTACTTCTGACTATCATATTGCTTCAATGCATAAGAGCACGCCTCTTGGCCTCAAAGATAAAAGTTCAGACCACTGAAGCTTACTCCAATCACTCACCCGTAGTAATAATATGTAGTCGGTGTCCTGCTCTAGTTGATTTTTATTAAATCATGCCAAATAATGAAATTATGTGACTTTGAAATATATGGATAAATTGAAACCACCTTCTAAATAGACTGCATGGCTTCCCAAGTACCTTTGAACTGTTCAATTTTTTTATAATCTTTGTGGGCAATTATAGCACGGAATGTTTTCGTAATAAAAATAAGAAGTAGCATAGAATTAATCACAAATGGCCAGGTCTAGAAACTCCTTTTCGTGCATCATTCGCCAACTCACCTGAATCTTGAAAACCTTATGAATCTTCCAGATTTCAATCGCCAGTCCAATACACACAGAGACCTTCACCATAAAGTTTGTATCATTGTCAAGCACGTAGAGCACAACAATCACCGATTGGAATATATTGAAAAGGACCGAACGCAGTGAGAGACCCTCGAAGTTATCTCGCGAACGCCAAAACTGAATATCTAGAAAGAGGGGAAGGAGAAGTGTAAAAAAACTGCAAAATTATTTATATCAAATGCCAGGCGTTTTGACAGTTATCAATAGCCCTTAGTTGAATTCAGGCTTCACAGAGAGGAGGAGGAACATCAAAGTGACATAAAGTCGATAGGGAGGGGGAACAGAAGAGTGTTTCTAAGATGTGAAAAAAACAGGCAGACACAAAGGTAGAAAAAAGGTGAGGTGAGTAC